ATAATAAATTATAATAAATATAAAAATTGATATAAGAACGTTTGTATTTTTTACGTGTGTTTCTTTATTTGACACAGTTTTAGTTACAACCAAATATTTTATTCTTAAGCTCTATGTAAAAACTGAATTTAATCAAGTATAAGAAAGAAATTGTTATTTCGAAGATAATATTTTGTACGGAAATCATCAAGTTTTATTTGATAATTATAATTACCTTATCATAATACCAATTTTGCATGTTTTCTAGCATTACTGGGCACAAAAATCATGTGTATTATGTATTCAAATTATATAATATGAAGACGATTAAGGCGCACACTAGCTGTGTCATTTGAAAAACAACATATTTACTGGCGAATGTGTGAAAGATAATGTAAAAAGGTAGCTAAGCGTAATACTTCTGGGATTCGGTGTTCATGTTCAACACACGGTTCCTTAGGCGCCATGAACCATGACCACTCTCAACAGAGTGGTCTTACATAGGTGAAGATCAACACAACATACAACATACAACATTCATACGTTTGTTGAGCATACTCAGCGAAGCGACGCTCTTCAGAGGCACTAAAAAAATTTCTCCAAACCAGTTGAGCAGCTCAAAGAGCCGAAAATGTGACTGAAGTCCGCACGCTTGGACTTGCGGCTAATCAGTCTTGGTTTAAAGCTGGTGGACGAAGCACGAAATTCGATTTTTGTTAAAAGTGATAACTTCGCGACGCTAAAGAAGTGAAAGGCCTCCCCAATTTTGATCTATTTAAACTTGAAGAACCGCAGCGAAAACACAAACTGATAACATCACACCGAGCCCTACATAAATTAAAAAGTCTGCTATGAGAGATAGTAGCAACAAAAATTGCCTAAGAAGACCTCAGCTGCATGTGAGTTGCCCATTTTAAAGAATTGCTTCTTTTAGCATCATTGTGAATCGTCTGTGAGAATGAGTTCACGTACATATGTATCTATGTCTATGTATGTATATATAGAAAATTACATATCTATGTATGGCTCATACGAATATTCACACTTTTGCAAGCTAGTGTATGCAGGTATACAAGAGTTTTGAGTAATCCGTGAATAGGTGAAAGTCAGACAATGAAAGCGAATTATATGAAATGTGACTGTGTGTGTCCGTATATAAGGTGATAATCATATTGCTCTGTTAGCTTTTAAATTTTGTTGTTGTAATTGACCACTAAATACTAAAGTGCATATGATGTTCATTATATATATTTAATATGTCCATATCCAGGACTTAAAGCATGCACAATACCAGTTCAGGAAGTGGAAATAAGATCAATCTAAACTGGTTCTTGGTCTGACTCAAATGTTATTTTTTATATGTTTAAAACGGGTTCTTGTATTCAAAAAATAAAAATGAGAATTCGACACAAACAAAAAACTGATAAAAACAAAAACAGAATGAGAACCCAAATATGTTAATAAATTTCGTAAATATTTCGTTTGATTTCTGGCAATAAATATTTATTCCCTTACGTAAAATATTTTATAATTAGTGATCAGTGTCAAGAAATTAGCCGAAAACTTGGAGTTATTCGTTTTGGGATTAAGAGAGAGTTTCTTATAATTACGCACGATTTTTAACCATGTTAAATAGTATTGAGAAATCGAGAGTACAACAGTCAACATTATATAAATTTTTTTTTATTATGGTGTATGGTATATGGATTGCATAAAAATGTGCGCATTGTAATACATTTGGGCGTTTATAGACCTTAAGAAATAGCTATTTGCATAAAACACAGAGCCGCTCTAGTCGTGATGCGCCGCCCCCGCATCGGACCCTTTGGAAATAAAGAAAAGAATGGCAAAAAGCATCCGAAAATAGAAGTGTTATATATTATGTATATATAAATAAAATTATCTTCAGAAAGATCTCTTAAACAATCTCAAGAACTGAACAATCAAATTAAAAATTGTTTGACTCTTAAAGTGTACAAAAAGTACTAACATATTTAAAATTTGATATCAATTTTATATTTTATATATATTGTAATCATTATCTTGCTAATGGAGGACTAATCGATTATTTAAAACTAATTGCGAGTGTCAGAAATCACGTACAAATTTAACTCTTATAGGTGCCGAGCCTGTGGCTGTAATACATACGAACAGATAAACGAACGGATGTACGTACGGACAGAAGAACTGACAGACAAACTGATAGTTGAGCGAGTGGATAAATTAACAGTCGAACAGTTGTTCGAACGGACAGAAGAATCGACAGAACAGCAGACAAATAATTGGAAGGACAAGCAAGCTGTTGTTCCGGATAAAAAACATATCTAGTCCATAAAGCTCCTACTTGTTTATGCAATTGCAGAAAAGACTAAATATAGTTAAAAATGTTTATTTATCGTATCACCTGCCCATAGCAATTTGAACCATTCTGGGAGCTTTGTATTTTCAGCTAATGCCTGGACGACATAACAATGGCCACCTCAAGTCCAGTTCACATTTCTGTTATCTGTTCCCCATTTTCTGCTTAGCTCTCCTTAGTTTGATTCAATTCTGCGATGCTCATGGCAGGCTTATAGAGCCTCCCAGCAGAGCATCGGCCTGGCGCTATGGATTTCAAACTCCGCCGGACTACAATGATCACGAGCTCTACTGCGGGGGCTTTACGCGTCAATGGAAGCGTAACGGGGGAAAATGTGGGGAGTGTGGCGACGCCTGGGATATGCCAGAGCCACGCCCACATGAAAATGGTGGCCAATGGGGCCAGGGCGTCATCGTTCGCAGCTATTTGCCGGGCTCCGAAATGACGATACGAGTGGAGCTGACCGCCAGTCACATGGGGTAAGGGGGACTTGTCAATTAATGCTTATGTGTTTTGTTTTGATTTGTTTTGATTTTATTTTGGCTTGCAGCTACTTCGAGTTTCGGTTGTGTCCAAAGCCGAGTGCCAAGCAGCTTTGCCTTGACGAAAACGTGCTGCCTATAATAAGTGGCTCGCCATCGCAGCGTAGTCCGAGTGACTTAGACACCCGATTCTATCCTCGTAATGGTAGTCGCATTTATGAAATCAAAGCACGATTGCCAGGTAAATGCTTCGAGTATTTCTATCGCTGTATTTCGTGTCCCCAGTTTCCTCATTACGGTCGATTTATTTATTGCAGATCTCTTATGCAACCAGTGTGTGCTCCAGTGGCGCTACGTAGCCGGAAACAATTGGGGCATGTGTGAGGATGGTGTGGGTGCCGTTGGCTGTGGTCCCCAGGAGGAGTTTCGGGCATGTTCGGATATCGCCTTAACTCCGGATGCTCGTCTACCCATTCGTCCTGCCCGGCCTACACATCGTATTACTACTACAACTGCTACGCCTGCCAAGACTGATCAAGTGGAGTCCACTGACGACCACCTCACTTCGGTTATGTTCTTGGTCGGATTTATATTGTTACTGATGGTCGCGGCATTCGTAATATGCGGCGTGTACGTCTACCTAAAGCCTGCCAAGCTAACCGAGTGGAAGGACATATTCCTAAAGAAGTTCTGCCAGAAGCAAAAAGCTTCTTCCTTAGTTAACCTGTCCCAAAGCAAAGTATTTAAGCCTGACTTATCCAACGGATCCATTGATAAGGTCGATGACAGCCACAGCATCAATACACAGGGTCCTGCCCCTATACCTCCGCCTAGAACAAGGCGAGATTCGCGCATCAAGGAAATATCCATCATATCCTAAATAGATATTCCTCCCTTCCGACTGGTCCCCAGACTCATTAGTATTCCTTGCATTTCTTTACCACATACATATAATAATATATAAAGCAACGAAAACTGATTATTTTTAATGCAGCTTATAACTAGGTATAACTGAAGTGTTCATTTTCGACTGCATTACACTATAATAAGTATAATTAAGTCCAATAATTTATTGTGATATCAATAATGTATATTACCCTCCTCAACAATCCAAAATTTTGTCTTCTGAGTAAATAGTTAAATTATAATTTCAAGAATTTTCATTTAAAGCGAATGTGGATTAAGGTAAGAGTCTAAATTGTCAAAATGCATAATTGATTTGGAAAATTATAGAGTATTGCTAGCTCTACATGTCTATGCTCGGATTTTATTGCAATACTATTAGCAACATTTTGAATTTCTTTTCTATTTGTTTTTTTTTTTTTTTTCAGTGGGCTGCAGTCACGTACTGTCTAGGTTTGCAGACGGGAGTTATATTTCAGATACTTCCTCTTATATAAAAGTGTATATATTAGCTTGAACCGAATGCTATATATGTATATACATATGTATATGTAGTACATATAGGAATAAGCATACAGAATTTAATGCGTTGGCGTATAAATTGCAAAATACTTGAGCATGCTAAATTTTGGTTAAAAATACAATATTGTTTCTCACTTGATGATATACTTTTTCTTTTTTTGTATACCTAACGATATAGATATATTTATATTTATATATATTGAAAGGTAATAACTTAATCCATATTCATTAAATCGATAAAGTGAGATTGAAGATAAAACATTAAGGAAGTTAGATTTGAAATGAGTTAAAAATACCAACCAATTATTATTTGGAATTTCGTTTTCTCTACAACAATTAAAAACAATTGGCAACGTTCCTCTACTTCTAAAAAAAAGAAAAAATATTATATTTAATTCAAATTCTTGGGTAAAATCGCCAAAAATGGTACCAATCAACACTTGACAATTCGCAAATAAACTTGTTAATAACCCATTATCATTACGATTGTTAAAATATCGATTTAAATCGATATTAAGAGCGACATATCCAAAAGATAATAGAAGCTAAAGATTACATATTTCAAACGCCAAATTTCAAAACAACAGATGGTGAATATGAACTATATACATATACATAAGCAGTTCATATTAATATACATATAAACATATTTATTTTTACATATATACATTTCAGTTCAGTCAACGACGAACAGATGTCGAAGATGAATTATAGATTTGTATATATACTCATTTATTATTTATTTATTTATTCGTCTTTGGTTGAAATAATACAAGCTATAATAGGTTAATAGAAATATTATAAACTGAATATGGAATACATGTGTTCCAAATGTTTCCAGAACGTCTAAAGGCAACCAACAAATTATTTATTAGTCTGTAAAGAGCATATACATATATGTATATAGTAGTATATATATTTTACAAAGGAAAAACATCTTAATTTTTTGCTTGAAAAATTAGAATCAGTGAACAATTAAATAGGTCAACAGAAAGTAAAAAAGAAAATAATTTTAAAGATTAATCTTTGTAGAAAGAACTTTGGAAAAGGCAAGGAATTTCTTGTTTCGAGATATTGATGTATTAAAATATTAATATGTTAAAGGGAAGTCAAAAGAGACGCGACGAGGAGTTCCGAAGGTCTCAACAACCTTTTAATGCAGATTTAATATAGCGCTCTTGGAAACTTCTGGAAAATTGGATTCGATGCCTTGGTTATAAAATGTAATTGCAATATGCTGACCTGTGTTATTATTCCAACTATATGTACAGCCTGTATTTAAATTTAGATACAATTTGGTCAAATTGTAAACCCTGCTTGAATGTTTACATTCTTCAACTTTGGAATTGGCTTATCTTAGAGAAATTAATGTATTTTTTTATTTATATATTTACGTTTAATTTTTGAGGCTGTACGATTTGATTTAATGTTCTTCAGATATACATACATAGATGTTATATATACAGAGACTAGGCCCCAAATTTGCTGTAAAAATAATGTTACCATGTGTAAGAGTATTTTGTGGCGAATGCTTAGTTCATGGTTTTGCTCTTTTCGTTAGTCAACTGTCAGAATTGGTTCCTGGCGGACGTGTGCGCAGCGCTGCTCGCCGTAGAACTTGTGCTTCGACATACATACGTATGCATATAGAAGACTATTTATATCTTGCGGATCGTAAAAATAAACGCAAAAGTTTTGAAACATTATTTTTCAATGGCCTCGGTGTGCGAGCCATCTGTTCCATTGAACAGAGTTGTGCAAGGTTCTGCATTCGAAACAGACCCGGATCCAGATCCCGATCCAGATAATATTCCATACCATGCCCGCGAGGATGCACTTCCCTTCACGTACGGCAACGTTCCGGTCGGCTTCAATACCAGCGACTTGCATCACGTCGAAACAAATGGGCCCACTGGCATATCGGACAACAAGTCTGTGCAAATTAAAAATGCGGCCAGCCATTCCTTACCCCGAAAGAGCGTTCGACCCAGCATTTCGGCGTCGTGTCCGTTGGTGCGGAAGACACCTTCCCGCCAAGAGTTCGAAGATATGCTTATGGAGCGCAAAGTGCATGTGGAAGATGCAAACAGAGCACTCGCGAGGAAGTTAGCTCAGGATGAGACGATTCAGAGGGACTTGGATGAGCTGCATAAGCGACTCAACTCGCCGCTACTTGAGAGAAAAGCAATTAGGGAAGAGCTGATTGAGTCCACCGATCTACCAGACGCCGAATTAGGTTCTCCTAGCAAAGGACGGAGTCCGGAATTGCAGCTCGTCGAAAAGAGTCGTTCGAAAACTCCAACGTTTCCATACGTTCAGAGACCCCTGAACTCCGAGCGATGTGTCAGCCCGTATCCAACACCCAAACCAGCAAAGACTCTAATGTTCGATGAGGGTTCAGAGCTGCACCATGGGGAGCGGGCTCTTCCGCAAGCCGATGTGTTTGTTAATCATACCAAGGAAGTTGAGCCACATCTGGTTAAGTTTGCCAAGGACTCGTCTCACTTTTGGTACAAGCCCAACATGAGCCGCGACGAAGCAGTCGACTTGCTGCGTGATGCAAGACCCGGAACATTTCTCATTCGCAACTCAACAACGTACCGCAATGCATTTGGCTTGGTCTTACGCGTAGCTAAGCCGCCGCCTGGCGTGGTGACCGGACCGGGATACGGGGACCAGTTGGTTCGCCACTTCCTCTTGGAGCCCACAAATCGGGGTGTTCGCCTGATGGGATGCAGCAATGAGCCAATCTTCACGTCTTTATCTGCCTTTGTATACGAACATTCAATTAACCAAATGTCACTTCCCACCACCCTGATTATACCAGATAGAGATTTACTTCTGATCTCGAATAACGAGGAGTTGATCCTGAGTCAAAAGCAGGTGCTGGCACAGGGTGCCGCTTGCAATGTGCTCTACCTGTTCCAGCACAATATGGAGTCCCTCACCGGTGACGATGCAGTTCGGAAGGCGGTCAATGAAATGTACTCAGCCCCGATGGCACCAGTTCCCTTGGAGGTTCACATAAAGATATCGGAGCAGGGAATCACACTGACCGACAATACCCGCAAAAAATTCTTCCGTCGTCACTATCCGGCTAAAAACATTTCGCACTTCTCCATGGACCCCGGCAATCACTTTTGGAGCGTTCCAGCATCCGACGAAGGACTACAGCGCTCCGTCAACAAGTCAATCTTCGCCTTTGTAGCACGGCCCCTGACTGGATCCAAAGATAATCAATGTCATATCTTTTGCGACTTGTCCTCTATGCAGCCCGCTTCGGCCATTGTTTCCTTTGCACACAAGGTTCTTCCGCTCAATCACAATTGCAAAATGTTGTAAATTGGATAAATATTCAGTATGCATTATAGATATGATACATAATAATGCAGATATACCAAAAAATGGTTTTAATTTGATTATTTATAATAAACTTAGCATAATATCCCAGAAATCTGCTCGAGGAATCTGACAACTTCATTTATTTGCTATCTATATATATGTTCTTTATTCAGAAAGAATCTGCATATATTTGATCATTATGTAATAAGAAAATAAACAAACAGGAAATAAATTGAATAGAATTTTCCAGCGAAATATCCACATTGTTTCGGAATGCGAGTAAATGGGATACAGATGTGATTTCTTGAATTATTGAGAACATTACATATATAGACTATAGACTATAGACTTTTTTTTATATGATTCGTAATTAGCTTTTGACCGAGTTTCAAATAAGCAATCAGATTGCAGTCAGATGGTTCCTCATATTTGTGAACAACATTTAATAATAATAATAATAATAATCACATAATCCTCAGTTGGCAGAGAGTGACCGAATGATGGACACTAGTTAAACTAGGGGTTAAATAAAACAAAGGACGAATTTCGATGATTATAAAAGGTATTTGGATTGAGTAGTAGTAATAGTAGTAGTAGCAGAAAAGAGGAGAAGTACTTGTAGAAATAGTGGTATTAGGGAAAAAATAGAGATAGTTGTAGTAATAGTAGGAAACAAATAGTAGTAGTAGTAGTAGAAAGTGTAGTATTCGTTTAATATAAAATAAAAGTCTGCTGGCTACAAATTAATTAAAGTTTAAGATCTACCTCGATCGAGACGTGAACTAAGTTTCTTAATATATATAGCAAATGAGAGATGTGAACTGTTTAAAGGCTTCTTGTAGATTGTGATTGAGGCAAGTTATGAACATAAAGTTTCAGTCTATTAAAAACTTTTTAATTAAATAAGAAAATGAAATAACATTTTGTTCCCAGCTTTCCAGTTAGTTTTTATTACTGTTTCTAAGCCTATGTTTGCTCCGTCAAATCTGTTGAAGAGCCCGTTATACCGCTTATTAGTTTTTTTGTAAATTTACGAAGCTCTAAAGGATCCTCGTTGTTGAAATCGTCCATCACGGTTTGCATTTGCTCCTTCAGTCCGTCAGCAATCGATGTCGTGATTCGATCCTTGAACAAATTTGTGATAGGACTTAAAATAAGTCCAGTAAATTCACGAATTAAACGTGCTTGATCCAATTGTACATGAATATTGCTATTAAGGAACATAAACCCATCATTAGATATAGAGTTACTCTAATATATTGTATATGCATATGTGTATACAGCACCTGAATTCAATTATACGAAAGTCGTGCAGATGAAGCTTCGAAGTAATCACATTGACAGCCAGTTCAGCATAGATGATCGTATCATCCAAAGAGCCAATCACCTTTCCGTAACCCTCAATAGCCATGAGCTTCATCAAAAAGTTGTATTCAAACTATAATGCAGAGGAAGGTGATGCCAATTAATTAGCCATTATAATTATTGTCAAGGAAAGATTCGAATAGCGTATATCTGAATACAATGATCAGAAGAAGGAAGTGCATTTGGTCTTTGATCAAACAGCTATTTTTCGAGGAACATGTTATGTACAGGTCTATCTATCATGAAATACACACGAGAGTGTGGGCGAGTATTCAAACAATACTTAACGAGAATATTAACCTCAAAAGTTATTTAACCAATAAAAATATTTTCAATAAATCTTGCTTCTTTTTGATCAAGACAAGGTTTTTAGTAATAAAACATCGATCAGTTATGGCCTAGTGATATCATCACTTACTGTCAAGTGATATCAGAAAGAATCTATGATCTATGATCTTACTTTGGATCTGACTGAACAGAACAAGTATTTTGATTGGTTGTTAAATAAAACTGAAAATATGGTATGCGGAGCTTTCAGATTAGAGATAATCATATATTTAAATAATATTTCAGAAAAGCTCTCAGCTCATTCATTGATTCGCCTCGTGGAATGTTGTTGAACTCTTGCGTTACATACCTGAAGTTTATTTATTTTCAAATAAAATTTACTCAGGAACGATTTGCCTTCATAGGTCATGAATGCATTTTTGTGTCTCTGTATTCCAGCCAGGTTGTAGACGATTCCATTAGTCAGGTGTAGACCGGCCTCATACGTTATAAAGAAAGGCTTCTAGCAGGCATTTATTTTTGCATTATTCATAGTTAAATTAGTGCGATTTTAGGTAGGCTTACAATAGAGATGCTCTCTTTCATGTCTGGCAGATCGAGATGGGCTATACCCAATTTTTGAAGGTGAGCTAGCACCATGGGCGTCACCACGTCGACTTCGGCATCAATGTTCGTCCAGCCGACATCATCCTTTTCGAAACTGCTCTTCGGATCACCACTGTCACTCGTTTCTAGAGTTCTTTATCGAAAACCAACAAAGGAAAGTTTTAATTCGGGAACGAGTGTAATTTTAAATAACAGGACTATGGTTAGAGATTATGATATTCTTAAAGCGGTAATATAATACTAAATATATTCTATCTATATATTATATCAAAGCTTTCCCTAAAGCCCTAGCTTTTCACTTTTATGAGGATGTACATAGATTAATCGCTTAGTGAAAATGGAGAAAGAAATAAACTACTTTATTGTTTCAACTGAAAGTTGAGATTTTAAAGATATACACATTCCCTATTTGCTATGTCGATGTATTTTTTCACAGAAATTCCACGAAATCAATTCACACTTTTTAAATAATGAGCAAATAAAAACGTTACTGTCAAACACTACCGTTTTATGAATACTCATTCATTGTCCAAGAACAACTCAGTATATATAGTATACAGACATATACATGGGGGCGTGACAAATCAGTGAAGTACCTATAACCCAGAGATTTACAGGAAAGCACTGAAAGTGAGCTTTCTAAAGGTAGGCTAATTTATTTGATATTATTATATTAAATTATATTATAGTATAGGAATTTTATCTTAGCTTCGAATTTTTGGAAGACGTATAAAACTAATAAGCTCTTCTTCATTTGGTGAACGGGCATTAATAGTATTTATGGATAAATTTATTGTAATGTTTCTCTTCATTTTTTTCTTCACGTCTTAACCACGTTACAACTGAATTGAAATGAAAATGGACTTTAATTATAACACAAATTTGAAAAAACTTTTCCACTGAAGTGAAAGCTTGATGAAATAGATGAATAATTAATTACCTGTTCGATTCCTGTTGCACTTTGCCATTTGCGGTAAGTACGAGCAGTAATAATCCAATTAAGTATACACTCATTTTGTCTCTAGTCACATTCATGGTAATTAAATTGCGAACGCAAATTAAATTCAGCTTTTGCCTATTTTGCTTGATTAATCACAGTTTATCTTAGATCTTGAATGCAATCAACTTTTAGTAGGCTGAACTTTTCTCGGATTAATCACAAAACAAACTTATAGCTATATTATCGTTTCTATATAAATATTAAAATATTCAGAAGTGCGAACTTCGGGGTTAGAATAGAAAATAAATAGATAATTTTGTCATGAGTAATTTTGCACACACGTTTGTAGAAGTATATAAAAATGAAACGTATTTAAATGAATTATGATGTATTAAATCACTCGGATAAATAATACTGGGAATCGGGCTCGTAGGTATCCATTTGTTTGTACATTTTTATTGACTGTTTATTTGACTGCTAATGTTCTCTGTTGTGCAAATAAACACTTTATTAATTAATTCGCATTCGATACACGGATTAAAGGCACTCATAAATGAAATATGTGTATATAACGTCCATTTGTGTATAAGCATGTATGTACATACATACATACATATATCATACGTACGTAGTCATACTTATATGCGATCTTGAAACATACACATTTACATATGTCCATATGGATTTGCTACTATTTCATAATAGCATTCACTTTAGTAGACAGCAGCTCGGATAGTTTTCGAGTCAAAATATTGTATTTGAACATTTTGTGCCACTCTAATATGCACAGCGCGTACGGAGACCCTAGTACGATCAAAGTAATTACTCGCTTCCTATTTAGTTACTGCGGCGAAGCTTTTTTGTAAATTGAAGCCAGCCCGAGAGGCCCGAGATCGAATGCCCACCGGTAGACGCACTCGTGAGAGCAGCTGAAACGAAACTAGATGCCGAACGAAACGACTTCAACAAATATAGACTAGAGCCTCGTCGAATTTCGATGCAATCCAGCCTTGATCTTGTTGTCGAGCTTTTGGGGGGTGCGCAAATGGGCAAAGCTTGCCTATTTACAACCACGCTAAGGCAATCAGCTCTGTATACCCTGTAATAAGAAAGTGCTGCCTCCGTTGGGTGCTACAATTGAACACCATTTCCACTTGATAGCAAACAAGTCTAATGAGTAGAATCAAGCTGAATGTAGATAACCAAGTTTTCAGCTTAGCCATTATAAAAGCTTAGCTTACGGCTCAGAGATCGTTGCACTCGAGTTGTAATTTTTATAGCACTATATTATTGGAATGGATTATATATTAGTTTACCTTTTTAATTATTACTTTAACAACTAACCAATGTTACTTAATTCAGAGTAAATTGTCTTTATTCGAAACACAATCTATTGTCATTACCTGTATAAAATAATAAAAATGAAAATATTAGAAATAACTACAAATTGGAGAGTAAGTGAGCACCGACATGGCAGGTGTCGATACTCTTCAGCTAAAACCGAGCTCACTTATATTCCTCTATACTTTATCACAGACATACCTACCTATACAATCACCCGAACGCCTCAAGCTATATATTTGTGCTGCTGAGCTTCACACTCAGGAGAGAATTTTCTTAAATAACTGTGTTTACCTTTTTTCCGACTACAGCAGACTTTTGATAGCATTTATAAACGAGCTCACATTAATACAATGTGATGTGCGTGCGTGCTGCCCGCGATGTACACGTACAGTGAATCCTCAATGGACGGACAGTAAAACTATTCAGTCATGCGATTTGTACGTTTATGGAAATTGCAGATCGAACAAATGTGAAAACATTACAAGCATTTCAATATTTGAAGCAACCGTTTTACTTTGTAGTGTCCGTCCATGAGCAATGGCTTTTGTATAGAATTTTTAGATAGTGTTACAAATTAAACTGTGTATCATTAAGATAGACTTTTGCAGCTGATTTTACATAATTAGAGCCATGAAGCAATATGCATACAATATAATAAACATATAATTAACTAACTATGGGATCTATAAACCGGTGTTTGTCTTAATATAGTTATAGCTCGCCGGTGTATAAAGCAGGGGCGACTGCTTCCTGAGTATAGGTTGAACTCTGCGAAACGCACACCAAAATATTTTTTCAATTTTTATGCCAGACATTTCCTTAAAATTAAATATATAGAGTTAGCTGTCCAACTTATTTAATTTATATAATTGTTAGCAATGAAGGCCTATTACTTCAAAGTTTTTGGTAATCAAATTGTATAAATCGTTCTCTTCTATCTCATACAAATATTTTATGCATATTTGATATACATACATCCAATATGATTTTATTTCTATTGCTTTGGTAAATTCAAGACTAATCTATACAAATTATAAGGCTCCACATTTCGTTTTGTTATATAAACATTGACAGCGCAACATTTTCAACAAGAAAGGAAATGTAATTTGTTGATCCAATCAGAGAATATTTTGCTAATATATATTGGGGAGATCATGTTTTATATGTTCCATTTACGCCTACATTGAATACCTCTGTAAAACTTCGATAACTAACAATTATTCGGGAGAAGTACTAACACGATTTACGATATAACACATTTTCACAGATTTTCCAATCTCTTGATTTATGATTTATTTGTTGTCGTTTGGTGCTTGCATTGTTGATTGGAGTTCATTTCATACAGGCAGCCCTCTGGTTGGTTGTAACTTAAAACAATTTAACACAATCATACAAAGTGTGGTTTAGTTAGCAGATTGGGAAATTGGATCGATCTTGACATCGGGAAACTTGAATTCGGGAAATTTAAGCATATCGGTCTTTCCATCGCTGCCGTACTGCTTGGCAACACGTTCCAGCTCATTTTTCAATTCTTTCTCGATTTCAGGATTCGGGTCAACCATCTTGCCACCTCTGCAAATAATATGATTGTAGATCGAATGACTTGAATTGTCCATTTGGTACTTACGCGCTCTTCTGCTTATATTCGCGCACCTTGTCCAGGAATAGTTGCTGGATCGGATCGGACGCCTTGTTCAGAGCTGGGGCAACAATGGCAATGTTGCGACGCGCCTCAGTGCGCAGAACACGGATACCGGTTAAAATAGATTGCGACAGCATCTATAAAACAATAGATTTCAAGTATATTGGTGCTAACAATTTGGTAACCTTAAAAGGTTATGTAATGCATGTTGTTTATGTAGCGTTAGGTGTTCTGACGTAGGTTATGAATATGTTAGTCCAGGTGAAATCTTGGTATTGGTTTAATATGCTTCACAGTTTATTTAATGCTTTTTCTTTACCTTATTTTATTTTCAAATGCTATTGTACTATATATGTGGAAAATTGTTCAGGCAGCAGCAGAGTGACAGCGTTTCGGCAACTAACAAATACTCAACATTTATTATACAAATACCAAAATGCCTACTTTGAACAAATAAAATACTGTTAAAATACCTTCCTGTTTACAAATTGAACAAAATGTTTAAAAATGCGTTATAAATAAGAAATTTTAAATATATTTATACATTTGGGATTTTGTCTTACAATTTATAATTTATAAACAGCAATAAATAGTTTTCAAACTATTAAAATTAAATATCGATAGTATATAAATATCGATTACGGACCCACCTGAATTCGTATATCGATTGCGGCATATATTCCACGTCAAGCGCTTGCAGTCCGAAGATTTTTTATTTTAATTTGTTTGAGTTGAGCGCAATACATTAAAAATGGTGAGCTTGCTACAGGAAATCGACACAGAACATGAGGATATGGTTCACCATGCGGCGCTTGACTTCTATGGACAGCTACTGGCTACCTGTTCGTCAGACGGAAGCATCCGAATCTTCAACTCCCGTAAAAACAACAAGGTTCTCACTGAACTGAAGGGACACCAGGGTCCTGTGTGGCAAGTAGCATGGGCACATCCAAAGTTTGGCAGCATCTTAGCATCGTGCTCCTATGATCGCAAAGTAATTATTTGGAAGTCGACTACACCCAGAGATTGGGCTAAACTGTGAGTGTCTGTTGTTTGTATATGTGTAATGCGTGTCAATGTTTTATGTTGACGTTATCTGTACCAGCAACAGATGTCGTCTATATTTAGATTCAGTTCCCCAATTATTGTAATTGCATTACATTTCAGATATGAGTACAGCAATCATGACTCCTCGGTCAATTCCGTGGACTTTGCGCCTCCAGAATATGGTTTAGTGCTTGCTTGTGCCAGCTCGGATGGTTCGATTTCAGTGCTCACCTGCAACACGGAGTACGGTAGTTGGGATGCCAAGAAGATACCCAATGCTCATACAATTGGAGTTAATGCTATTTCCTGGTGCCCGGCACAGGCACCCGATCCAGCCTTTGATCAGCGAGTCACTTCACGCAATACCGCCGTAAAACGTTTGGTCAGCGGAGGGTGCGATAATCTCGTTAAGGTGTGGCGTGAAGATAATGATCGCTGGGTTGATGAGCACCATCTCGAAGCACATTCCGATTGGGTGCGCGATGTTGCTTGGGCTCCATCGATTGGCTTGCCCCGCATGCAGATCGCCTCGGCCTCACAGGACCGTCACGTTATCATTTGGAACAGTAATGCTGATTTGAGCCAATGGACATCAACCGTGTTGCACACATTCGATGATGCTGTGTGGAGCATTTCCTGGTCCACCACAGGCAACGTGCTGGCTGTCACTGGAGGTGACAACAATGTCTCACTGTGGAAAGAGAACAGTGAGGGTCAATGGATACGTATTAACTATGAATCGGGCACTGCCACCCAATCGAAGCAGTCGCATCATCTACGCAATCCCCAGCAGCAACCCCAACAGCAACCGCCATCAAACAAGCCAGTTATGTCGGACTCTGAGCGCAGCTCGAACTTATCCAATTCGAACTTGTCACATTCGCAGATGTCAAACTAGATATATTTTATAGATCGTGTGAATGGCCTAATTACAAATATTGAAAATGTTGGTCATTAAATCTAACAAATTAAAAATATATGTATAATATAAAGTTAATGTTCCGTTTTCATTAATTAGCGAGCGGAACTCTGCGTAGCGCAATTTCGCAAATTTCAGCATTATTAGCTCCTAATGGCATTTATTCGAGTAATTCGCAATAAGTTCGTCTATATGTTTTCCCTCTCCTCGAGCCTAATGACTAGCTTTGCGTCCAAAGAGGACGCCCCAATTGCAATATTCCTGATGTTCCTGCCGTTTCAGTTAATTTCATTTTATTCATAAGGAAGGAAGTTACGCATTTCGCATAAATTTGCAACACGTGCCGCCCTACAATGGAACCAAACAGAGCAGGAAAACTAATTTGCCATATATAGTATATATTTGTGTATGCATTAGCAAGTTTTAATAGAATCAGTTTACAATATGGCGTGTTGAAGCGAAAATATAATTGAAATAACAAATTAATTGTGTTTGCATATTGTGATTTCTTCTTCTTGTCAAAGAACTTCAGAACATTGATTAAGTTGATCGACTCTGGTCAAATATTTAACAAAAGTTGGCAACACTGACTGAGATTTCCCAGGACCTGCTGATTGATTATTTGTAATTGAAAAATTTCAATGTGAAAAATGTCAATATATAGCGTCATTTTTCTAATTGCTTTCAGTTTTATTGATGCACTTCGAGTAGTTACAAAACTGCCACAATCCGCACTATTGTATCGTCATGGCACTCTTATGGTAATTGCATTTTAATAATTTAAAGCAGTTTCATTGCATGCGAGCGAAATTTCTAATTTAAATTCCAATCACAAATACATCAATATTTGCTGAAATACACAGAGTCTTTCAATACGTGTGACCTGGAGAGGGAGCAAGGGTGACACAGCTCAGCTAAAAGGGTTTCGCCTTGAAGGTTGATGCGGAAGAGCTCCTAGGTCCAGTTAGCAACAATGTAGTCGAATACACAGGTCGCTGTATAAAGCAGTGTATTACTTAGGTAGTAGGTAGTTACCTACCTCACCATAAAAAAAATAATAAATGAAAAATGTAGGATTTGCCAATATTACAAGTTTTACTGTTCTATCAAATTTTTCAACATTATTATTATTATATTTACCCTTTTAATATATCCTTTATGCACGTTCTACGTTTTAAAGAACATTTGTTCCTGTGAGTTCAGATGACAACATGAAGGAACTTCTTCTATTATGCCAAGTAAATAAAACTAAACTATTTTTGTTGTGTATCCGGATATGCACATACATATGTAACAGAAAGAGGGCAGCGTAGCATACTGTAACAGTAATGGTGCGATTCAATTTCAATTTCAGTTTTTCTGACAGCATTCATGTTCATCAACTTGTTAAACCACCTTCTGTCAATTGACGCGTTTTAAGGGTATGCTAAAATTCTTGCACTTTGAGCCTAGTTTTGGAATGTGAAGTGGCTATTGTAGATTTTGGTGTGTAACGCTCTTAATTATTGGCTAAGCCATGGGTTGGGCTGCACATAAAGGGCTTTCCACTTGCTGGACGCGTCACTTAAGTAATTGTTGACTTTGAGGCTACATGAACAATACATACATACATATATGCGCCTTAGGGGCTCAGCACTCATACTAATTGTCGGCTGGTAGGCGCTCTGCACCAGCTTGGACACTGATGATGTCATAGATTGCGTGCACTAGAGCCGTCATCAATATTGTGTACAGAGTCAACAACCAAGGAGCCAGACCATAGTCCAAGTCCAGGTCGCAAGTGCTGCATGAAAGAGTCGCTTGCGCCCCAAACGAACTCGTTCGCCCGCAATCAGCGCGGTTTAATCGCTCTGCTCGCCCACCACCATAATCCTTCGCCGCGCCGGACTCCAACTGACCGCATTGCTTGAGAGCGTTGCAAAGGTTTTCTTAGTATGCGGCATTGATTTTTTTTCTCCATTCTCTCATTCGTTCTTAATTTTGAGTTTCTGGGCTGTTTGTGTTTTGGTGCTTTTAGCACTTTTACTTTTGTACGCACGTAGAAAATTTGCATATTATTCGGCATACAGGGTGCTCCAACTGCGGCTGAACTGGGCTGGGCTAGCCTGGCCTGAGAATGAAAGTCGAATAGAATTTAAGCATATGTAAGCTTGTGTACCTTGCATCCATTGAAAATGCAAATTCAATGCGATCATCGTCCTTGAAATATTTTGTATTGATGCGGGTCTACGGATGCGATGAGTTCACCCCACAGTTGCTGGCGACACCATCTCATCTCTTAAGCATAAACTCTTGAAATTTACATAGACACAGCCTAGCCTATCCCCTCTAAACTAATGTTAATGTAGCACAGCACAATCTGAAGTTATTGAAAGCCGTATTATTATTATTTTGTGCAATGAATATAATAACATGAAGAGAGAGAGAGAGAGCGAGCGGGACAGGGCAGAGATTAGTAGAGGAAAAATTAAATAAATATATACTGATTGATACAAAGAATGAAGTAGTTCACTTATTATAAGATTATGCACTCTATTGTATTTTAACTACTAAAATCACTTTTTAATTATATAAATAAATTAAATTGTCTTTATAAATTACAAACTCTGTAATAATTATTCGTCATTGATCAAGTACGATTGACCCATAATAGCTGCTTCATTATATTAACAATTATATACAAATGCAAACACTTAATTGAATTTGAAGATTATTTTAATGGCAATCGATTTGTCAGAATGTTGGGCAGGTGCTGAGCCCATCTAAGACCCATGTGACGTACATTATTTACGTCTGCGGAAATCTCCACGCAACGCCCCAATCAATCAGTAACTACAATGGCTTTGTAGGAATATTTCCATGTTTATATTGTATTCATGTGCAATTGAACTATTTGTGTACAAGCTATGTCCACAGATAAGATAACACGGCCCGAAACGAGATATCGTGTTCGCTTTTCGCTTTTCGCTTTTCGCTTTTAGCTCTGCTTGGGCTTATCTCAAGTGCTGAAGCGAAACGATGCGTTAATAATTTGAAATTATTAACAATTACCAAGCAATCAGCTGGCTTATATATATAAGCTATATGAATACCTATATATATATAAATATAATTTTACAAGTGGCAGCAGGCAGCAGGACAAGGGACAGACTCTTTGGCCACATGAGTAATGACGTTGTTTGATAGCCGTTTTGGTTGTACAGATTGCAGATATTTATGGCAGTCTAACTACAGTGGCGCGCTGTGATTTTTGTCTCGCATGTCGGGCCATAAATTTGATTGATTCAGCCAATTTGGCGAGTGGCCGCGATAAGCAGCCGCTGTCTGTGCCCACTCCGATAATTGCCTGCGATTGCCATCGGCTCTGTTCGGGCATTAAAGAGCCTTGCAGAGACTTCAACACTATAATTTACCACAAAAGGAAGTCAAATAGTGTCGGGCATGATAATACGCCAGCTCAAGTGCTCGCCAAACATCAAAAGTCAATCAATTGTGTCAATTGCTTATTTAGTACTTAGAAAGAGAACTATATTATAATGAACAAAGGAAATCAAGTTATAAAATTATTAAAATTAAACTAACACTTAATTAATATATAGGGGAAATTAAAATTATTAAGCTAATCTTCTTTGCCAGTACTCCACATTAAATCACATAATATCTTTACTACATAAATAATCGGACCTAGCCACTTAAGTTAGGTTTTATTTTTTCAAGGGACTTTTTCATCCTTTTCTCCTGATAGCCCTTTACCTTTAATTGGCTACATATACACGGTAAAAAATCCATACAAAAATATTAAAGTACATATTTCTACTACTCACTACTTATTTTGGTAATACTACTACTATTTACAATAAGGTGAAATATTAAATAGAGTGAAATGAATAAAATAAAATAAAATAAACATTCGTCCAGTTTCGTTACGCATTTTCTATAGTCCCAATTTGACCTATAGTAGAGCATAGTCCCTACCGAGTAGATTTATTATATTCAGCGAGCTACTGAAAGATCTTATTGCATTATACTTGAATAGCATACCGATAAGGATAATTAGCTGTGCAGCTTTTCACCTCACAACTCGTGACGTCGATGAGTCGTGCCCAGCTGGCCAGGAGAGCCAGAGCCAGAGCTAACCGCTTATGACAATGATGTATGTTTGTATTTAGTTAACTACGCAGGAGTTATTGGGCGTATGCCGTGAGCATTCGCATTCGCATTTCGCACACTTAATTTGAATGCTGTTGACTATTTTGGGAAACAGAAAGGTCAAATGGCTACGCGGCGTATGCGTAATAAAACGAAAAGTTAACACTCTGCCCCGCAGGAACTTGCCAAGTGTCTGACCCATTAGCAAGGACAATCGAGACTATACATATATGTGTGTGTGTGAAAGTGAATGCAAGAACTACATGTTCAGAAATGAAAATCAAAAGAAAGTTGTAATCTTTATTTGACCGTGTTTAATCTTTGCACAGATCTCGATAGAATTTCTGAATGTGCATGCAGGAATGCAGCGCAAGTAAATCGCATGTGGAGTCCAGTTTTACAGCGGGAGGGAGGTAAATCTAGATGCAATTAGACTCGACGATAATATGAAATTAAAGCACCTCAAATTGGCGTTCACTCAAGAGTTAATGGGCCCAGGTCTCATAGCGCAAATATGATGACCTCTAGGCATGCTCAGAGCCAGCTCTATAGATTTCGTGAGGAAATTATACCTATACTCGGTCTGTTGGCCATTTTGCATTTGCTTTGGCTATGTCGCACTAATTAATCATCAGTTAAGAATAACATGGCAGCCAGATTGTGGACAAAGAAATGGTTCTTTAATTACTGCTCCGCGCTCCACGTGTTACTGCAGCACCTCAATTTTTAGTTGATTCCCATTGTGGTGCCGCTGCTCTTGGTGGCTATTGGTGGTGGTGGTAGGTTTTTGCTTTTGGCCAGGTTTCGTGATTTTTCTATATAATTTTCCATGGATTTGCACCAGAACATTTATCAATAATGCCAAGACGTCTGTACGTACTTACTTCTTCTGTATTTATATATAATAAAATATTTGTAGCTCCTTAATTAGGTATAGCATGCAATATATATGTATTGGTTTCTTATAAATATACATATATATTATATACAACATTCAGTTTTGCCAACCAACTTTATTTAAAAATAAATATATTTTATATTTTAGATTTTACTATTGTTCCTGTACTTACTAACCTTTCTGCTTTGGTATTGTCGATTTGTTGTCCGTAAAGTCCAAGTTAAAGAAAGAATTTTTACCATGAACATATAGCCATGAAGTCATATAAGCCATGAAGTTCATTTTAAAGGATGTGCAGTCTATATAAGGCCATTTTGGTTCAGCCCTACGTCCCTATTGAGAATAGAGCCTATGAGCATCCACTTTTCAATAGGTTCTCGAATTATCAGTGTTACAATATAAAGGAATATTTTTATGCGAAGAGATGATAGATATTAGATTCTTTAAGATTTTCAATTTGCCAATTATGTCTATAAATATAAAAGCATTCGTATTTCTACATACAAGGGAAAAGAACTTGCTTGAATTCTACTCAAGAAATAGAATTGAACAGAAAGTCCTTTTTAAATGGAAAAGGTTCAGTCAATGTCCCAAAATTAGAAAAGTTCCGAATAAAGCCAAGTCCGACAAACCACAGCCCAAAAATGAGACTAATTAATATGCAAATATATAACATTTAGTTCATTATATTTAGTTAGCGTGTAAAATTAATTTCGCTTGCTTGAGTGAATACCAAGTGGTAGCAAAAGGCTTTAAATGCTTCGCGTTAAGTGGAGGGCAAATGGCTTTGATGTCAGAGCGATCAAAACAATCGTTTATAACCAGATTACCGTGCTGATAACGGGGTACAGGTTGACAAATTCGATCCCCAGAGAGGATTAGTTGGATAGCCGAAATACATACATCTATAGTATATATACATATGTATATATATAGACTAAGCCGGCATTATACGGTCTTCTACAAGGTCCTTTTTGGGTCCGTTTGCGAAATTTTCCGATATGCAAATGCTGATTGGTAAAATTGGTGATTTCAACGCTGTAGGCGTGTCGTGTGGGCGTGGCAAGTAACCTTTCCAGAGAGTTTAACTGCAAACGCAACAAGCGCCCACTCGGGGCATTTGATGGTGGTGCAAGTGAAATGTAATTAGAGACCTGCACAATCCTGAAAAACAAACCGAAAAAAACTTAAAACAGAATGAAAAAGAAAACAGAATAATGGCACAAAAAAGTATTTACTGTTGTTTTAGCAAAACCTGCTTCGCCCGGTGGTATTGTAGTAGTTGTTGTGCGTGCTAATGCCACCCTTTTGTGTTGTGTGTGACTTGGGCACGTATTAGACGTAGGCCCCAAAACTAGGCTATGCAATGGCTCTAATGACTTCGCCATTATAATAATACACACATAGAGTTGCGCCAGGACGACCACGACCACGACGATGGCGATGAGGACGCGGACGAGGTCGAGACGAGGCCATCCCGACTTTAGCGCAACAACAATCAAAATCGCACGAAGGTAACACTCAAAAAGCAACAACAACAAAATCCATCTTCGTTAACGCGGCTAACACGAAGTGCGTTTCAGCTTGGCTTATACACACACAACCACACACACACATGCATATTCATAGCTACACACACACATCCACAAGAACACATCCGARTTCAAATTCAAATTCAAATTTGTTAGCAAAGTTCAAAAGACGCCTAAGATTTTTGCATCATTCCCTTGAAAACAATAAAATAAATGAATAAATAACTTTCATTTCACGCAGTCAAGGCAAAACTCAAGGCTTTACATTTAAATTAAATATAAATTTAAATTATTAATTGAAACGAAGTGAAAAAAACTCGAGTATAAACTAACCTCTTTCACATTATTGCAGCCTTAAATTTCCAATTTTGTTAGCTATATTTTTATATAAATTATTTAATGAAATTAAGTACTGCAAGTAAAAAACAAATCATTTAAACTTAAATTAATTTGCTTTTTTTTTAATTTAAAAATTTTTTAAAATTTTAAAAACATATTTCCTCCATACAATTATAACTCATTATTTTTCCAAATTTATAATTTTTTTTTTTT